CTCCTGCAAGCAACCCGGAGCGCTGCAGGCTGGTGCTGGGGATAAGGGGCAGTCCCTGTGCCCGGCAGCTCCTGGCAGACGTGCTGTCTGGGCTCCTGCATGCTCGCTCTCCTGCATCCAGCACCTCCAGGCTGGGTCAACACTAATATTTACTTTTGAAGGCAAGGCTGGAGCTCAGGGCTGCTTCCCGTCCCCGTGGCTCTCCTGGGCCCAGCGGATGGAATTGCAGAGCGGGGGGTGTTGGGGACTACTTGTGTGGGCTGAGCGGGAGCCATGGGAGATGGTGGACAGGGAATCAGGTCCAAGGCCTCAAATAACAAAAATAACTACAGTGATCAGAATAGCAATTACTTACAAAGTTCTTACTATATGTCCGATGCTGGGATAAGTCTTTCCCATGCATTTCAGTTTTAGTTCTCACCCCGGTTCTTCAAGGCAGGTGTGTCATAGTTTTACAAGGTAGAAGACAGAGGCAGAGAAAAGTGAGTAGCTTGTCCAAGGTCACGCAGCTAGTAAGTGGTGGACCTGGGTGGCCAGCTGAGCATATGAGCCTTGGCGATTCTAAGGCTCAGTGTCTACAGGGAATGGGAAGGTTAATGAGCGAAGCCTGGTAAGTGTACGGCAATTGGGAGTGGTTGGGACTGGAGCACAGGGGAGAGGAAACCCCTGTGGAATCCTCAGCTCTAGCGAGTTGTTGCCACAAAGAAATGTGGACCCATTGGGGTCAGCGTGTCTGATTTTCAAGAGAAAATCTTGGCATGCTTGTTTCTAGAATCAGGGGGAAAATATATATTTATACATCTACAGGTTTTTATTTGAAGTATTCCAATTTTTAAATGTTGGCAGCACATTCCTTCTCTTAAAAAAGCACAGTGGGAGCCAAGTCAAACATGGCTTGGGGCAATCGCTCTGCTCCCACCGCAGAGCCCAGTCTGTCTGCCCGGCCCTCGGCTTCCTCCACGCAGGGGTCAGGACTGAGAATTCAGCTCAAGGCCCACGGTCTGGATGGCCACCCCTGGGCCACTTTCAGGCTGGATGCCTGGGGACAGTGGCACCCTTCGATCCAGATAGTCAGGGCCCCCGCTGGCTCCACACTTCAGAAGGTCACCTTCCGCTGTGCCCCCGCCCATGAAGAAGAGGAGAGTTTGCTGGACCGAGGGCTCTGCCCACCCAGAGCTCACACCCTCTCTTCTAGACCAGCCTCTGGGGCCTGGCGACCTCAGAATTCCCTACCCCAAGGCCTTGAGCCTGCTTTCGCACCAGTGTATCAGTTTTCTGTTGCTGTAAAAAGCTACCTAAACTGCGTTGTGTGAAACAACAGTCATCTCTCTCTCTCTCTCTCTTTTTTTTTTCTTGGATGCACGGCACAGCATGTGGGATCTTAGTTCCCTGACCAGGGATCGAACCTGTGGCCCATGCGGTGGAAGGGCGGAGTCCTAACCACTGGGCCGCCAGGGAAGTCCCAACAATCACCTCATTGTTATTACCTTTCATGGCTCTGGGGCCGGTGAGGTCAGCGCAGCAGTCCTCCCGCGGGTCTCTCCTGCCGTCCAGTCAGTGGCGGCCGGGGCTGGTATTCTCCTGAGGTTCTTTCACCCACGTGTCTAAGGTCGGTCTGGCTGTCAGCTGAGGCCTGGGCCAGGACGGCCAGCCAGAACATCTGCACGTGGCCTCTCTAGGGCCCCCTATTTCCTCATCGAGGAGCGACTGGCACTCAGGACAACGGTCCCAAGACGCAGAGCCAGGAGGAAGCTGACACACCTTTATGATCTAGCGTCTGAGTCACTGCCGATGTGCTTATCGGTGGAGACAGAAACAAAAGTCGGGGGGGCGGATGCGAACTCCACCTTGATGGTGCAGGGGCAGGATTTCACGGGGAGAAGAGTCTGCGGAGTGAGAGATGCTTCCAGGGCCATTTGGGAGAGCGTTTTCTGCAGCAGTCTGCACGTTTCTCTTCCCTGCAGGCCTCCTCCGAGGATGCGCGAGCAGCGGAGGAGGCCCTGGGGTGGCTACAGGGGCTGGGAGTGGCCGGACAGGGGCGGGCTGGCTGTGCTCCCACCAGCCCCGGGGGCCCTCTGCCTCACCCGTGTCAGGGGCAGGCTGCCTGGAGGGCAGGGCAGGCCCTCTGGATGTGCTTTGAGGAGTCCCCACCGAGAGCGCCATGTGGACAGGGCAGAGGCCAGCTCCTGGGGGATCCGAGTGACGGCCGCCGCTGAGCAGGAAGGGCTGAGGGGAGGAGGAGAGAGACAGAGATAAATGACCCCCTGTGTGTCCACTGACCTCCCGGCCCAGCATCTTGACTGAGTGTGGAAAGGAGAGTCAGCACTTGGCTTGCAGGGACCCGTGAGGGATTCTTCGTGGTGCTTCCTCGCCAGAACTTGGTTTTGCTTCCATGAGACAAAAAGACACATAAGCCAGCTATTGAATAACACAAGTCCCTCGGTAAGTTTGGGTCAAAGTGCAGGTCTTCCATAGAAGAGAGAGGTCAGCGTCCCGGTTCTCCGGCCTACCTGCAAATCAAAATCACCTGCGGGAGCTTGATGACCTAGTGATGTCCTGGTCCCATCCGCTCAGTTCTGAAGCAGTCTGTCCCTTGGGGGCCTAGGGGTGGGGATTTTTTAAAATTTATCTTTTATTGAGGTAACATAGGTTTATAACATTATAAAAATTTCATGTGTACAGCCCACTCACCACCAAACATTTAGTTTCCATCTGTCACCATACTGTTGGGCCCCTTCATCCATCCACCCTCCCCCTGGCCCCTTCCCCTCTGGGAACCACTACTTAGTTCTCTGTATCTGTGCTTTTGGTTTGGTTTGTTCATTTGTTTTATTTTTTTTATATTCCATGTATGAGTGAAATCACGCAGTATTTGTCTTTCTCCATCCAACTTATTTCACTTAGCACAATGCCCTCCAGGTCTTGCAGGGGGATTGTTTTTTTCTAACTTTTTATTTTATATTGGAGTATAGCCAATTAACAGTGTTGTGATGGTTTCAGGTGCACAGCAAAGGGCCTCAGCCATACATATACAGGTATCCATTCTCCCCCAGACTCCCCTCCCGTCCAGGCTGCCACATAACATTGAGCAGACTGCTACTGTGCTCTACAGCGGGTCCTTGTTGGTTAACCTTTTAAAATATAGCAGTGTGTACATGTCAATCCCAAACTCTCTAACTATCCCTTCCCTTCATCCTTCCCCCCACCCCCCTCACAGGGGGATTTTTAAAAGCTACCCAGTGATTCTACTCTGCAGCCAAGTTTGAGACCCACTGAGCCAGAGGAGAAATACCTGGAGGGGAAAGATTCCCAGACCTCAATGAGGGAATGGCTTGACTAGTCAGGGCAAGAGAAGGCACTCCAGGTGAGTGGAATAGCAGGAGCAAAAGAGACCAGGTGAGAACGTGCTTTGCAATATTAGGAGTATCCAGCATATGGATGGATCTGCTAAGGTAGCGCTTTTGGTGATGGTAATAGTAACAAGATAAGACTGCCACGTGTAAACACTGTGTTATGAACTTACAGATACAATCTCATTTGGTCCTCACTACAGCTCTGTGAGGTAGGTTTTTTGTTTTTGTTCTTTTTGCTGTACGTGGGCCTCTCACCGTTGTGGCCTCTCCCGTTGCAGAGCACAGGCTCCGGACGCGCAGGCCCAGCGGCCATGGCTCACGGGCCCAGCCGCTCTGCGGCATGTGGGATCTTCCCGGACCAGGGCACGAACCCGCATCCCCTGCATCGGCAGGCGGACTCTCAACCACTGTGCCACCAGGGAAGCCCAAGGTAGGTATTTTAATTCCCGTTTTACAGGTGACAAAACTGAGGATCAGACTGCCTGTGTGATTGTCCCAGAGCGGGGATTTGAACACCTGACTCTAATTCTCAAAGTGATGCTTAGAAGATTTGGTGCAAACATGGGGAGTTCTGGACCTGAGCTAGAGATGATAGGGTGACATGGTGAGGCTGGCAGGTCAGTGTGGATTCAGAAGGTAGGAGCGGTGTGTGTGTGCAGGAGACGGCAAGCCAGTGAGCGAGTGAGCCAGAAGGAATGGTTGCGCAGTGTCCTGGTGGGTGGGGCAGGATGGGTGGGTGAGAATAGCTCCAGGTCGCAACGCTGGAGGCTGGAGCAGGGCCTCTCCAGCTGTGGCTCCCTTTCTGCGTGGGTGGGTCAGTTGAGGCTTGGGCATCCTTCCTGAGCATCTCAAGCCTCCTGGCCTTTGCACGTGTTGTTCTCTGCCTGGAACTGTCTTGCCCTCTTCTCCACCTGTCTGTCTGTGAATCCGTCCATGCGTAGCTGAGCTATCACCTCCTCCAACAGTCAGGCAAACTGAGTTTTGAGTTGGAACTCTGACATGTACCAGTCCGGTGTTCTTGGGCAAGTTATTCAACCTCCTTGATTCTTAGTTTCTTCATCTGCAGAAAGAAAAGAGTAAAAATAGTCCTTGCCTCTGAGGCTCCTGGGAGGATTAAACGTTTTCATGCGTGTAAAGCTCTTAGGACAGAGCCTCGCTCAGAACTAGCGCTGCCAAAAGTCAGCACCCGTTTCTGCCCTGTTGCCCTCACCTCTGCGTTATGGTTGCTATTCGGCTGTCTGATTCCCCCTTCAGACTGTAAGCCCCCTTGAGGGCAGAGGCTGTCCTAGTCTCCCCTGGAACCCTGTGCCCACCATGATGCTGGGTGTGACACGGTTCTGGGAGAGTCCTTGGTGCAAACGTGGGAAATTCTGGATCTGATCTAGAGGTTACCCGATCTAGGTGTGGTAGAAATTGCTAGAGGCAATCTCATCCAAGGTGTTACCTCTTCTCGCCTGATTGTCGATGGGAGCACTAATGTATTCATCTAAAGAATAACACCTTCCAGGCTCTGGCAGCCAGAGTGGCCACGTGATGCTGTGACCGCAGACCAACCAGGCTGTCTGAGGTTGCGTTCTCAGAAGCAGACTCTTTAAGGCAAAGATTCAAGGGCCAGCAGTTTATTTGGAAGAGAAATCCAGGAAGGATTTGTATGGCAGTGGAGGAATGAGACAAAGAGGAGGAGCCAAACGCAGACACTGTGAGTGAGCGAGGCACTGCTGGGGGCAGCTGGGGCTCTGTCCCACTGGGAGCCTCTGAGGGCGAGAAAGCTGGAGTATTTGTCCACCAGCTGCTGTCTGTCATTGGTTGCGGCTGTTCCTGGGCTCCATTAACTCTGGCACATTGGGTCTGCTCTATGTGGTGACCTGAGCAAGCTACTGGGGCCAAAGGAAAATATTTGTAGAAGTAGTTTCTGTGGCTTAACTGGCGAGTGTCCAGGGGACTTGGGAGGGGCAGGCACCAACAGTGTCTTTTATAGAAGTATAAGTTGTTGCAAAGAACTTCCTGAAAAGCCCCACAAAAGGTAGCCTGACTCAGCTAAGGGCTCTTTTGCTTATGACCTTCCCACTTTCCTCTTGCTTAGAATATAGTTTTAATGGTTGGAGCTGTGGCAGCCATATTATGTCCACGAGGAAAAGACCAACAGAACCATCAAGATTTCTCACTGTTCCTACAGCTTTTAATTAGAAAACAATTTACTGGGCTTCCCTGGCGGCACAGTGGTTAAGAATCTGCCCGCCAATGCAGGGGAAACAGGTTCGAGCCCTGGTCCAGGAAGATCCCACATGCTGCAGAGCAACTAAGCCCATGTGCCACAACTAATGAGCCTGAGCTGTAGAGCCTGCAAGTCACAACTACTGAAGCCCGTGCACGTAGAGCCTGTGCTCTTCAACGAGAAGCCACTGCAATGAGAAGCCCACGCGTCACAATGAAGAGTAGCCCCCAGTTGCCACAACTAGAGAAAGCCCATGCGCAGCAACAAGGACCCAATGCAGCCAAAAATAAATAAATAAAATAAATTCATAAAAAAAAGAAAACAATTTACTACTAGACATAATGTCACATAAGAGAAAAAAACCTCTTCACTCTATAGTTTCAGGCAGCCAGTGATACTTGGGTTTCATGTTACTTGCAGCCTAATCCAATCTTAGTTCAAAAAACTGTACATGTTAAAGAATGAATGAATAAACTCTAGGCAGGGGGTGGAGGTAAGGTAGAGAGCACCTTTTGCTTACAAAGATGCCCAGCAGGTTTGACTATATTCCTAGACTGTAAGGGCTGGATAATAATTATTTTTGCTCATTATTTTATCCTCAGCGTGTGCAGAGGAGACTTGTAATAATTGTTTCCTGAATAGGTAAATGGCCAATGATCCTGGGGGAGGAGAGGGAGCTGCAGATGCTCTGGACAAAATTTATTTGCATTTACATTTACGGAACATCCTTTCATATACCAGGCTGTATTTTTTTTTTTTTTTTTTTTACTAAAGGGGAAGGATTGGGGAGGGGAAAGAAGGAAAAGCAGATGAGCGAGGATCAAGTACAGGCAGACCTCGGAGATATGCGGGTTCAGTTCCAAACCACCGCAGTAAAGTGAATATCACAAGAAAGTGAGTCACACAAAGTTTTTGGTTTTCCATTGCATATAAAAGTGATGTTTACACTACATTATAGTCTGTTAAGTGTGCAATAATAGCATTGTCAAAAAAAGTTACCTTAATTTTAAAATAATTTATTGCTAAAAAATATTAACCATAATCTGAACCTTCACCAAGTTGTAATCTTTTCACTGATGGAGGGTTTGAAATATTGCTAGAATTACCAAAATATGACGGCAGAGACACAAAGTGAGCAAATGCCGTTGGAAAAATCGCGCTGATAGACTTGTTTGATGCAGTGTTACCACAACCCTTCAGTTTGTAAAAAAAAACCCAATATCTGTGAAGCACCCTAAAGCAAAGTGCAGTGAAATGAGGTGTGCCTGTATTAAAAATCAAATAGGTTATACTTCTCTCTGAACCTCAGTCTCTTCATCTGTAGAATGGGAATGATAAGCATACCATACTGAAGTTTGTTGTAAGGATTCAATGAGATAATATAAGCCCAGTGATTTGCCAAGTTCAGGAACATAGTAGGTCCTCAATAGAGGGTACTTTTATCATTGTTGTTCTTCTTGAACAACATGGACATCTCTACTGGGCCCTGTGGAAAATAAATAAGACATGGTCTTGTCTGCAGATAGCTGATGATCTGATAGGAGGGGCTCACTGTATTAGGAGGGAGGATTAGTGTAATTATTCCCATTTTATGGCTGGGGAGATAGACTCGGGGGGGTTATAAAATGTGCCCAAGATCAGCTGACTGGTTTGTGGTGGGGCTCTCCCTCAGTACCATGCGGGAACTTGGGAGGAGCACAAGAAGTGCTACTAACTTTGGGACAAATTCAGCAGAGAAATTCTGTGGCTTGGCCTTGTACGGAGGACCAACACTACACAAGGGTCCCAGTGGGCCCTGCGATGGCAGCTCCACACTCCCTCTCACTGCCCCTGGTTCCCTCCCATCCTCCAGGCCTCACAGACCTCCAGAGACCCATTCCAGCCCTGAGCTTGAAAACGCACTGACTGAAAGGAGTTGATTTGGCATGGAACACCTAAAGGAGGTGTCTTTTAGCAAAGCTATGCATGGAAATGTCTTCCAAATTAAGATGAGGCGCTTTATTTTCCAGCTTAGGCCCTGAACAAGCTTCTTCATTCTCGGGACTGTTCTGGTGCTGGCGATGGCAGAGTTGCTGCCGCCAAGACTGTAGAACACGGTGAACTGTCGGTGGCTGGTCCCGCTCACCAAGGGGAAAAGAGAAGAGTTCCCCTCATCCCCTGACTGGGAGTCTTCCCCAAGTGGGTGAGGATGTTTCCAAAAAATTTGTATGGTAATTGATGGAGTTATTAAGATTCACTGAGTCAATAATGTTCCCATTCAGAAGCTCGGGTTTGAAGCACATCTAACTTCCCTGTAAGTGGGCTTCCTTGTTTTTGTCTTTTTTTAACTTATTAGTTTTGGCTGTGTTGGGTCTTCGTTTCTGTGCGAGGGTTTTCTCTAGTGGCAAGCGGGGGCCACTCTTCATCGCGGTATGCGGGCCTCTCACTATCACGGCCTCTCTCATTGCGGAGCACAGGCTCCAGACGCGCAGGCTTAGTAGTTGTGGCTCACGGGCCTAGTTGCTCCGCAGCATGTGGGATCCTCCCAGACCAGGTCTCAAACCCGTGTCCCCTGCATTAGCAGGCAGATTCTCAACCACTGCGCCACCAGGGAAGCCCCGGGCTTCCTTGTTGACTGAGCTTTAGAGCCCTATCCATTCCCACGGTCCCCATCACGGACTCTGTGACCACCACACTGTCTCAGATAAAGTGACTTTCCTAAGGATGAAGGCCTCAGAGGGGAGAAGGAAAGGGGCAGGGGGCTGAGAAGCCCTGCTTAGTCTCAACCTCAAGACGCTGGTACTGATGCTGAAAGCTCAGCGTCTTCTCTGTACACCGGTGCCGAATCCAATCTCGGAGACAGTTTTGGGTGAAGTAGAAAAGGAAAGCTTTATTACTTTGCCAGGCCAAGTGGGACACAGCGGGCTCCTGCCTCGAAAAACTATGTGTCCCCACTTGGAGAAGTGAGTGAGAGGTTTCCTAGTAATGGTTCAAAGAGGACGTGATCAGCTCTTGGACGGTCTTCTGATGGGTTGGTGGTGAGGTACGTGGGAGTCAGCATCATTAACCTTGAGGTCCAGCGGGTCTGGGGTCTGCATGCTTGTGGGCAGCGTACCTTCATTAATCGCTAACTTCTCCCACCTGGGGGGGTTTAGTATCTGCAGAATAGCTCAAACATATTGTCGTGTGTATCCATTGATAGGGAAACAGGGCCTTGTGGCAAGGCTGCTCTTAACTGTTTCTCCCTGGTCTCGCACCCCCTCCCTTCCCTTCCCTAACCAACTACTGCTTGAACCTGCCCAGTGGAACTCAGGGAAGGTCATGGAGGCTGAATGAAGGCTGTTTCCTGTAATCAAAGAAAAGGGAGACACAGAAAGTCTTTGTGCCCAGGAGCCCCACAGGGCCCTGCTCGGTAACAGTACTAATGCAGGCAATGCTGGGCTGTGGGGCTTTCTCTCAGCAGGACTACAACTCCCTCCTCCAGCATCTTGTCACCTGAGCGGTGGTTTTCCTATGTGACACATACCCACAGGCATAGCTCTACTTTCCGGGAAACAGGTAGACATCATCATCCCAGTCTTGACCGAACTACCCGATAGCACGTGGTGGGATGCAATGTGTTCTTTGCCCCTGGTGTTTCTACCTGGCCGCCTCTTTCATGCTGCCAGCGGTGCCCTTTGTACTTATTGCCTCGGGGAGGGAATGACTCAGCAGAAACTCTGAGGTCAAAGAGTGTCAGCTCTAGGCTTTGGAGTTTCAAAAGCTTAGGCCTCAGGGGGACACGAGGGAGTGACAGGCATAAATAATAGATGTGGGAGAAGGGTTGGGGAAGAGGGAAAATTCTCAACCTGGTGATGGAAAGGATTCCCCTGGGTGGGGGAAGGGAGAGAGATGGAGGGGATATGATAAAGGAAGGTGGACCTGGGGCCATGTGGGCAAGAGAGGACTCGGCTTCCAGATACTGCCTGGCCCCCTGGGAGAGAGCACTTGGGTCCTCAGGCAGGGATGCCCAGGGGAGCTCAGTCGGGACCTCCCGACAGTGCAGTCTCTTCTCGTGGTCATCATGCACCATCAACGCACAGGGGCTTTAAACTGTACAGGTGGCTGGGGTCCTGGGCACCTGCAGGGGTGATAGAGATGGAAGAGACAGAGCTGCTGATCTCTCCCAGCCCCCAACCCCAAGTGGACTTGCCAAGATGTACCTGCTGAGGTGGGGCAGGGCGCACCCCAGGGCTCTTAGAAGCTCCTTAGCTTACAGCATGGGAAGGAGGAATAAGATGGGCTGGGGGTTCATGAGGACCAGCTGTAACTCCACCTTTTCTGTTCCTCTTTGAAACCTTAACGGGGTGCAAATGTAAGACAGAAGCCCCCCTTCCTTCCTCCCTTGCAGAAGCTCAGAGGACGTAGTCTATTTCCTCAGCTTGACAGTTCTCCCCCGGGGCCTCTCCTCCCCAGCCAGGCCGCCCAAGGGGTGGAGTCTCCCAATGGCCCTGCCTGGCCCTAGT